CATTCAAATTAGATAATTAATATTCATAGATTTTTACCCAAAACTAATCAAATCTGCGCACTACTTCAGAGCATCCATGTGCCAAGTTTCATCAAAATCCAATGAGTGGTTCTTCAGATATCAGTGGAACAGTCTTGGAACAGTTAAAAATCAGCTAATTATCATGCAAATTAGGTAATTAATATTCATAGATTTTTACCAAAACCTAATCAACTCTGCGCATTATCCCAGAGCATCTATGTACCAAGTTTCACCAAAATTTGATTAGTGGTTCTTGAGATAACGGTAGAACAAAAAAAGTGACATACATACATACATACATACATACATACATACATACATACATACAGACAGGGTAACTGCAAAGACTCCCTTTTGTGCTTCGCACACGGGAGTCAAAAAGGACTGAGAAGACAAACAACCATGACCCATAACTTTCTGTCATTATGTCCAGTAACAATTAATTTTTTAAAGTCAAATAAAGTCATGTTTTCACAATTTGTTCAAGAATATTGTTGCACCACAGAAAAGTTATTTGATCCATACGGTATAATAATGATAATGACCTACCCCTCCCAGTTGGCACAACTGTCGGTTTTTTACTTTGTCATCTTCAATGAACAGCTTCCTGGTATAAAAAAAAAAGATGTCTGTAATATTATGATTTCTACCATGCCTCGTGCTATATCCAAACTAAAATCTATAAGTAAAATATATTTTTTTTTATTCACCATTATGCTAGAGGATACATAGCTATTAAAATCAAGACGAAATTCACATTAAATCATGAGGAAATCCACATTAAATCATGAGGAAATCCACATTAAATCATGAGGAAATCCACACTATATATAGTATATTACTATATAAGATGAGCAGTAATGGTTGGGCAGTAGAAAATAGCTTAAGTGAAGCTAGTCTAGTCTGCTCTTGAATACTGATGGAGCAAAATTAAAGACATTACTGTAAAATACTTTATTTTCGCTTGAAATTAATTTTTGCTTTTTTCGCTCAAAGAATGATTCAGTGAAAATACAATTTTTTCCTACATTTTACATTCAATTTGTCAAAAATCAGTGACAATAAATTCCATACAAAACACCCAAAGTCTTTACAGCATAAATTAAATCCAGCTAAAATAAACTATTTCACAGTGCATATATGTTGATTAAAAATATATCCCAATTTATAAATACTGAACAGTGATAAATTCAGCATGGCACATGTACGTCAAATTTGTGTTTGCATTTACTTGCTTGTTAATTTAAATTGGTGAAATTCATGCAGTCACTGTTAAAAGTTTTCTTCACATGAATGCCATCTTAGAATTTTTTAAATTTTACTGTACATGTATAAAACAATTGCTAGCATAAATCATGCACGGTGCATGGGATTGTGTTAATGTGTGCAGTAATCACAGAACTATAGCCAGTTAATTCGTGATAGGAACAATTTAATTTTAATTGAATATTTTAATTCCAGGCAACAGTCTTTAGGCCAGACTTTTATTATCCCTTGTTTCGTGAACCCGCCGAATAAACAGGGGCCGAAAATGAAATAAAAATAAAATTTTATTTCAGCGTAATTTCTCCGCCCGCCAACTTGTAAGTGCAAAAAATTGCTAAAAAAAACTTATTTTTATTTTCATTTTTTTTTCGCCCGACGCATAACAAACCCAAGTCGCATTTATGTGGGAGTATCATGATCAAAGTACCGAAATCTTGCGCAGATGAGAAACAAGGTTATACATGAAATAAAATTGTATTTCATTTCTTCTCTCTGATCAATGATCTCACTTACAATTCTTTGAGAATCACACAAATCTAATGGAAAAAAAAAAATAATTTTATTTATTATCCACCCTCCTCAAAATAAATTGCCTTACCGGTATAAAAACTCGAGAAACAACGAATAAAAAAAGTCTGGCCTTTACATTGAAAGAAACGTATTCTCAGGAGCGCGAATCCGGGTATTTTCCCCACCTGGCAACCATCACGGTAAAAACAAAGACCAAAAACTGAAAACTTTGAGATAGTTGTTGAGAATCCCCATGACATATATATTTAGTTGCTCAGGATTATTTAAATATTGAGTTTATGCTGTTTCCATGACGTTCCACAGCAGTTTGCACTGAACCCATAGAAATACAAAATACAACAGTGCACATCTCTAGAACATTTGTGATGTTGCTACGCCCCCAAGGATAGATTTTGCCACCAACAAAAAATACATTTGAAACAATGTGGCAGGGTTGAGTGACCATCTTCCCATCACTATGTCAATTTAATGCACAGTATCTCTTGCGTTAACACAGCCCTAATTTAAACTTAATAACAAATAAAAACGCATACAGGTCAATGTTTTCCTCTAAACATCCTTTCATGAATGATTAGAATAGAGGGTTACCCCGGTAACAATTTGTGGAGCTCAACAGATCAAAATTTTTGGCTGGCACTTAAGCAAATAAAATATCAAATAGTTTTAAAGTTGTTGTGTCTTTAAATATGACCAGAGTGTATATCTTCGTAATGGCATATTCTTTTATTTCAATCAAAATATCTCAGTGTTCAGCCCAGTGAACTTGGCAGTGACAGTTTATTGTTATTGACATTCTAAAAAAAAATGTGCTTGTGAATGTATACTTACAGAATTTCTTGAGGAAGATGAAATGACAACAATGTCTCCGCCATGATTTCCTGTACGATTAGTGGCCGACCCTCCATCTCTGGACGTCGATACGACTTACTCAGTGCATTCACAAATAGATACTTCAAAAGAGGATCTCTGCTGATGCTGTTCCCTCGTTGTTTGAACACCGTGGCCTGCGGCTGGAACTCCTGACTTGCATTGCTACCCCGCTTCATGCCTTTCACCTTGTCAAAAGTTGTCGTCTACAGGAATGGAAATCATAGCGCTAAGTGGCTGAACAAACTAGGAATAGTTCAGCCGATTTTTTCAACTAACAATATGGTATGTGATGTCACCACTGAGTAACATACAGTTATATAGAAAATGGGTATTTAAAAAGAAAAAAAATATTTGTGCCAGGCAAAGGTTCCTGACTATAAATCTTGTTGTTTCTCCTGGCTTTTTTGTGCAAGTTGAAAGTGTTGACATAAAGTGAATCATGGGAATTTTAATGTACTATTCTGGTGTAAACCAGGCCTTGCTGAACAAAAGATGCAGCAACCTTTAACCAACATTCTCCAAAAGTATGTAGCATCAGTTTAGTTAATGAATCTTGGCCAGTGGCTTTTACCTACCCATTGAATCAGTGCCACACTTCTCAGAGTAGGGAGTCAACCCTGTTTTAGGGTTCAACTCTAGGAATTGATCTTGGATCTACTGATCCTAGGGTCCCGTGCTATAGGTAGTTTTAGTAGACTGAGTTAATTGACAAATAGAACCTACACTAGTGTGTCAGGATATGAGGGACTATGTTATAACTTTTGAAAGACAAGTCATGACATGAAACAGTCCCCATCATTTTTAAAAGAGTATTTTTGAGTGCATGTGAACATATCTTTATATTGTTTGTCTTGTACAAGCAATACCTCAGAATATACATTTTAATAGCTCAGGGAAATCTTTTCGGTATACAACAGATTTGAACCAAATCCATCAATGAATACCTGAATACGAACTATTTTGAATCTAATGCGAAAAATTATGGGCATGAAGGTCTCACTTTGTTCAATGTATGCACTAAGTTTAAACAAAATCAGTTCACACAAGACTAAGATCTGATTCTGGAATAGATAAAATATGTGATTTTCGGTGCATTTTTAAGCTTAAAATGTCAGCCATTCGACCATCTTGAATTGAAAAATGACACAAATGCATATCCACATGTCCGATGGATGTCTGATGTATGTGTGAAGTTAGAACTTGATCGGTTTTGGCATGTCAGAAATATGGATCCAGAACTGCATCTTTATTACAAAATGACTGCCAGTCGGCCATTTTGAACCAAATTTGTTCAGACAGGATTTACAGTTCTGTAATGGTGAAATTGTGTGATTAACATGCATTTTTATCCTTAAAAAGGAAGCCATTCATCCATCTTGAATCAGACCATGAAACAAATGTATCCATGTGCATATGTAGGAAACATGAATTAAAATAAAATCCCCCCCCCCAAGTCAAGTTGAGTCCGCATGTAGGCTACTGGGAGGTCATATTGACTTAGAGGACATACTGTATCTAATACACGTGTTTACACGGGAGCAGACATTCACATAGATGGATGGACAGACAATCTTATGAAAGTACAAAAACAAGCTTTAGCTGAATCTGTTTTTTTTTATTTAAAAATTTTGTAGGTATTTATCTATTTATAGCAATTACAAAATTTCAATTTTTAATGAAAAATTCTCCACGACATTAAAGGTTGAAGGTCGCCACCCTGCGCCCAGTTCGATATGGGACTTATATGTAAAACACAATGTTTGCTTACATGGAATTCAAACACGCGCTGTGCCCCAACTTTCACCCATTAAATAGGAAAACACACACATACAGTTTTTTTTTACATTTTAGTGAACTGTGAAAATGAAGTGATATAATTACAAGAATGATGGCTTTTTTCAAACACATTATTTCCAGTTTGGAAATCTATCTGTCAATACCAGTGAGATCTCAAAATAGCCAGATTAAAACTATATTGCACCAAGTCAGGCAAGAACAAACCTTTATAGGTTTCACACCATTAATAGAGACCTGTTGGCCACAATGAATATACTGTAAAAGGGTTTAATTATTCACTGGTTAATTAAAACTCAATGGATATGTGAAATTGAGCATAGAACACATTATCTAAATGATAAAACCATGAATTTAAAACCACTGAATATGCCTATAATGTTAAATTTGCAAATATTAAATTTAAACCTAGTGAAAATTTCACAGTATTTTCTAGCCTTTCTTCTTATAAAGAAATATTCCCATTTGTGATTAAATATGATTCAGAAAATTACTAAGAGTATGCTCAAAATTTGAAAACTAACTGGTTTACAAATGGGTTATTATGTATTCATGTGATGCTAGATCAGGTCAGAGGTAATCATAGTTTTGACTTTTGTACTTAGCACCTTGCAGTTACACTTCTGAAATATACAAATTACAGAGCTCAACCAAAGATGGCTACATCTATAAGCAAAGCAATCTGGCTAGTGATATTTGCAAATTTCCCTAAAAATTTTAGATGAGGCATAAATTTATAAATTAATATTATAAAAGCAGGGGAATCGTCACATGCGCATGCGTCAGATGGCCATAGCATCTCATTGTTTACAAACACGCGTCTACCCATGAGCCTTTGCGTTTTAAACATGCGTTGTTATCGTCGACTGGACTCAATTCCCACGCATGCGCAGATAACGACCCCTTCGCTTTCATTAATTTAATATAAAGTTCTGATTTAATTGGGCAAGTTTAGCCTATTTGATGTATATTGCGTAGAAATCCAGAAGTTTTAACTCCAAAGTTGCAAAGAAAGAATACATTTTATGGTTAACTTCAATTATAATTTCAACAAAGTATGTGAAGTATTTTATAATATTGTATGCATGTGCTTATGTGAATAACAGTTGTATGTTTACGGTCAAAATTTACCATTTCGAAGCTGTATAAGGATGTCATGAAAATTATTTACTAAAATAATTTTGAATAATTTAATTATCATAAAAATAGTTAATTAATTTTTTTCTGTACTCATTCCTCTGAGACAGGAAAGTGTATTTGTGATTAATAGTTCACAGCTGCCCCTCCCCCTAGATATTATACCAGAAGGTTTCTATGGAGCAACAAAAATTGCTTCCTTCACAAGTCAAGAGTCTTGAAACAAATTAAAATTGGCAGTGTGCCTACTTGGTGTATTGTTTAATCATTTTATTGGAGAATTTTCATTATTTAGTTTATACTAATAAATAAATTTTTTAATTATAAATTTTGAAAAATTGTTATAAGAAAAACAAAACAATATTTGTTTTGCTAAATTCTGCCCAATAAAAAATTCTGTACTTTGATTGTAAAACAAAAACAAAAAAACAAAACAGGAAATTGTTATTTTAGTTAAATTCGCTGAAAGTTCATATCAAAACCAAAAATCAGTAAAAATATGCCAACAATCTCACTGTAAGAATCTTTTTTATTTTTACTATGTCTGTAAATTAACTTAAAAGACAATAAACAATAACAATCTAAAAAAATCATGTTTTGCAATACTAGAAAGCCATTTTGTTCCAAAAATTCTGCCAGATTATTAAATATAGTTTAGAGGAATGTTATTTTTAGACATGCAGGCTAACAAATAAAATGGTGGTCATATCAAGAAATACTGATTAAAATGTTTTTTGAAAAAATAAATCACTTCAACTTACAGAGGCCACAAATGCAGCACAGCCAGTTTCCATGGTAACTGCATATTGTTTCTTTTGCTGAAGACAACAAATCAGGCCCATGATTCCCAAAATAAAGCTTGACAAATAATACGATCTGAAATTAATCCATGGATGCAGCGTCTAAAATGACGGTCTCGTCCTGGGGTGTAGGGACACTAATTTCTAGCTGAACAGGAAAAACATGGCTATTGTCAAACAGCTGTAGATACTGCTGATAGCCAGAAGAATTGTACCACTTGAAAAAATGGGAGGAACCCCGTGAGGTTAAAGGTTATATTATCAAGGTTGTCAGATTGGTTATTATGTACGAATTGCACTGAGAAAAATATGATGCAAGGTTTCCAGGGGGAGGGGCATAATTTTTACATTTATTTGTTGTATGTATTTTTGTTTTTCCTTTAGGGAGGAGGTTATAATGTTGTACACAATGTGCACTTCTTGATTGCGAATTGGTTATTTCCAAGCACAAGTAACACTTTTATTCAAAATCCATTACTCTGTTTAATAATAACCTCCCTAAATATTGTAATGGTCCTGCCCTAATTCCAATGTTAAACTCACCTAACTGGTTTTTGCTGGCATCCTATATTTTACTGCATGAGGAAACACATAAAACACATTTGTAACTGTACTGATACTACTACTACGCGTAGTACATGTTGCTGCATTTTGCATACAGTTTTTGCAGCCATTTATAAAACAATATTCATTTATTTCTAGATCTGTAGACACTATCAGCATAACAGAATATATGCCATGTGATGGGAATTATTGACTGTGGTTGAAATTACAAAAATCATTGCAGCTCAGGGTGTTAATATAATCTGTTAACTGTTGGTTGCGACTACATTAAAAGGGTGGTTCTTGCATATCCCATGTTTCACAATAATAATACATTTATCATATTTGAAGATGATCAGATAAAAGTAAAGGAAAGCATGTAGAAACCATGGCAGAAACATGAGTGGCTAGAATTTACATTTACTCATAGGACTCCCAATATTAGAGAGAGACCCCCCCCCTCACTTAAGTATACTACTAGGATATTCGTAAAGTTGGTGATAAATCCCTCTTTTACACATTTATCAACAAGTTGTAAATTTCATTGTTGTTGAATTGAGGAGGCCATAACTGACTGACTTGACCTGACCATTACAACAGTCATTAGCCGCGAATTTACTGCTTTAACTCCTCAGAAATGTCCAGTCTTTAGTTATGACTGAAGGATTGGGAGGTCTTTTTATAGACAAGCTTTTTGAGTCCAGAGACAAGAAACAGTAATATGGCAGGTGAAAATAAAATGGCCCATGCATTATTACAGATTGTATTAAAAATCATGAGAACTGTTGTAGAAAATGGCAGCAATGTCAGATAATAGGGTAGTTTACTAAAAAAGTCTTTTATTTCATTCAGACAACTGTAACAAACACATAATAAAATAAATAAATTTATCTGGGGGATTCACAACAAGTCACTGAAATGCACCAGTGAACAGGGGTTTTTCTAGAAAAAAAATGCAAGAAGGAGCACTGCAGCACCACCACAAAATGGGGGAGATAGGGTTCTCCCTACCACGGTGTGGAGTTTTTGATAATTCTATATTAAATGGAGCATTCTATGGCTTCTTTGGGGCCAAAATTACAATCAGACAGGTCACAGTTGAAGACTGTGGCCACATGTCATCCCTGGTCAATCAGAATTTTATGGTTGCCAGAAGATCTGCTCCCCAGGGTAAGGTGTGCATGGCCATGGCATGAGGGCGCTGCACCCCTGTTCCCTTGTTTAATAAAATTCCTGAATGAAGTAATTTTGGGTTTAAAAGTTTATCATCTGCGTAGATGGTTCACATAATTCTCCAATTATGTGAACTCTATTTGAACTCTGCTGGTTAGACTAACACACTGGACAGATTTTAACATGCATGTACGTTAGTATTAGTAAGGTTTGCTAATAAATAAATCGTTTTTTTTTTTTAATTTATGAATTTGAAATGTCTTAGACATGCAAGATGAGAACTGTTTAAATATTAAATAAAAGACAAGTGCGCTTCACATGAATTCATACAAGTCAAGAGTTTATTGAAAACAGTAAAACTTTACCCTAACCACCATGCACCATGGACATTTTCATAACCCTCAAACATCATTGTATTGTCATTTACATCCTCAAAAAGAAATATTTGTTAGTCTACATTTAAATTGTTATGTTTATGTTATTTCTGAAATAAGATTTAGGTCTGTGAATAATGAATTTAAAAAATTTCATACAAATACCGGGATGTATGACTTTTAAAGGGTTTCATACAAGTACCAGGATGTATGACCTATAAATACCACAATGTATTGAACTTTAAATACCAGGATATATGACCTATAAATACCAGGATGTATGAACTTTAAATACCAGGATGTATGACCTATAAATACCAGGATGAATGAACTTTAAATACCAGGATGTATGACCTTCAAATAACCGGGGCCGATACAGTGAGGGTTCATACAAACTTCCTAAAAACTGAAGAATTGTATAATTGAAAATAATTTGTTTTTCACACCATGACATTAACAGGGTTATAAAGATGACCTCTAGTGACATGAGCATGAATTATTACAGTGAAAGGCACAAAGCAAAAATGTATAAACGTATTTATAAAAATTGTGAAAGCCAATCAAAAGCTTTCATTTAAATTCAATTATTCAATAGTGATTGGCTTAGGAACCAAACACTGTTTATGCCCATAAGTGGGTGCATGCCTTCATATGTCATAGTATGACCGTCTTTATATTCAAAGTGAGGCACTTGCTGATTGGACGACATGAATTTAATTAATTAATTTTCGAATTGGTTGATTATAATTTGAATTTTAACATTCATTTTGATTTATAAAAATTTATACTACATGTAGTATTTATGAAACATTTATAATAACCTCAGCTTTATGCCTTTTACCTGATTGTATATTGCATACATTTATATTAGGCAGCAAAGAGAATATTGTGGTTTGATTAGTTTAAGCCATCCTGAAAGGAAAAAATAAAACAATTTACCTTTGGAAATACTGGGGGAATGGGAATGTTGCGAAAAACTGGTGGTGGTAAATATAACTACATGATGAAAAAAACACAAACACAATAATCTATGAATGGAATCTCTACAAATTGTAATAAAGAATAACTACGGGGAAACTAATCACATGATACTTCTCTGATGATGTAAAAAAGATTACATAACAAATTATGATGTCATAGAGCATCATTTGTTATAATTATAAATGTTCGTTACACAAAAAGAAACAACACAGATACTAAGTACACCTCAGACAAGAGCGATAATGTGAAAACCAAATGAAGATTTTATTCTGATGTGATTGAAAATTGTGATAGAAGTTTTTGTCTGTCATTCATACCAAACTATCCATTCAGTTTTTACAGTGTGATTTTTTTCAGTTGTTTTTTTGTAATTTTTGTAAACATGCTACCCCGGAGAAATGGATACATTACAGTAATATCGGAGAATCCAACATATTTTAGTTTCCATGGAAACAAAATATCAGAGAAGTGTCATGTCTAATTAAAATGACTGTTGTTAGTGGTGAACTACTCTTCTTACTACAGTGAATTAGATGGAGAAATGCATGCATTGTAAATAACACACAGCCAGACAAATCTACAGAAATTATAGATCTTCAATTAAATCTTTCTCTGTCAGTTACTCAATATGCATCTGTAACAAAGTATACATTTTCTGAAAGCCTGGATTTGGGAGAATACACACAGGGTGTCCAGACATGTAGCAAAAACATGGTTTCCAACAACAATTTTATCCCACTACTGAATTGCGTGTGAACAGAATAAACTGGTGTTGACCCAGGATAGTTTAACTAGTCAGAAGGCTTGTCTTGACCCCAAGTCCTGTGTTTAACCCTGATGTAAGATAAGTGTTAACAAAGTCTCTGGGTTGAAAGAACACTCTCTAATGGCGATGCTATAATATGTGAATAGGTTTCAAAAAATAAACCATGTTTTATGTATTTATGTATTAGGTTTTATAAGGAGTATTTACAGAGACATCTACTAGCTCTCAGTATGACAGCAAGTGGATATATTTTCTAACACTGTTTGCTTAATGGATTATGTGACAAAGCCTTATTAACAAAGGTTATTCCAGGTAGCGCAGTTGGCTGTATCTTGCTAAAATAATTTTGCAAAATAAAGTTAAAACTGACAAATTGTGTCATAGGGTTGTTTGCACTTGTTAATAGAATTTGGGATTTTATGGTTCTTGAGTTTCTAAATTTAAAAATAAATACCAACAATTCTGAGACATAAATTGTAGAAGGAGAGTGGCACTAGAGGGCGCTGTCTGATCTAGACATAAATTGTAGGAGGAGAGTGGCACTAGAGGGCACTGTCTGATCTGGACATATATTGTTTCGCTAGTTCCCGACGTCCTTTGCAAATGGCAAGTAGGCGCAGTAATCGCCATATTGTTCCACTTGGCCGGTTTTCCGGCCGGAAGGCACGTGACTGAGTGACGTAATTTGAAAACATTCAAAGTTCCGTTCTGCGTAAACGTGTCTGTAATACTACAATAAAGCCATACTCGTACATTCTGCCTGCTTAGACTTAGATATTTGAGATGTTTCTGACATTCCTCCCTGTTTCTGTGCAAATTTATAACAATAGAAACAGTTTTTTATTCGCCAAATTTTCGAAAGTAAAAGGAAACCCCAGAACAGCCACGAGCGTAAGCGCTGACGTCAGGTAACCAAGGGAAATAGAACAAGCAATGAGAAAGTAATTGACTAATCGGAATGCCAGATTCGTTACTGGTTACCAGCCTCTTGTGGCTTGGTACGCCATGACATTTGAGGCGGGAACCAGCCAAATAAATTGTAGGAGAAAAGTGGCACTAGAGGGCGCTGTCTGATCTGGAAATAAATTGTAGGAGGAGAGTGGCGCTAGAGGGCGCTGTCTGATCTGGACATAAATTGTAGGAGGAGAGTGGCGCTAGAGGGCGCTGTATGATCTGGACATATGGTAAATTGTAGGAGAGTGGCACAAGAGGACGCTGTCTGATCTAGACATAAATTGTAGAAGGAGAGCGGCGCTAGAGGGCGCTGTATGATCTGGACATAAATTGTTGGAGAGTGGCACTAGAGGACGCTGTCTGATCTGGACATAAATTGTAGGAGGACAGCGTTTCTTGATGGCGCTGTCTGATCTGGAAGGAACGCTTCAAAGTCCATTGGCCGAAGCTGAAGCAACAACTTGCCTTTAAACCTTATCTGTCAATGTAAAAGTATATGAGGCTGGCAGAATAAGGGTTAATTTGTTTTTCAGATATATTTTAAAAAAAGATCAATGAAACTGAGAAGCATGTCACACACACATACATACATGTATATAGGGATAATGCAAAACAATTTACAAACAAGCGTCTACCCATGAGCCTTTGCATTTTTAGCGTGTGTTGTTATCGTCGCTTGGGACTCAATTCCCACGTGTGCGCAGGTGATGACTCTCCCGCTTTAAAGAGAAAACCTGTGGTTACTTTCAACAGTTTTGCTGGACACACAAATGCACCCCCCCTGATAAATTGACATTTTGTTATCTTGTAACATCATGTTGATACACAATCAGTAGATTTCGTTGTAGTTTCAATGCTATTCTGTATTACAAAATCCGCTAAGCAAAGCTATATCCAAGCTTTCAGAATATATATACATGTACAGTAACAGGTAGACAGTGACTAATCACTTATACATCAATGATTTCTCGCTTGCTACATCAGCTATATAGAAATAGCATACTTAGCATACAGGCATACATAGATAAGTTAATTTATACAAGCATGCTATTCTCAGGTAAGAAATGATTAAAAATTAGTTGATTCGGCACTACCATGCTACGTATTAAATGTTTGGAAACATGACAAGTCACTAGTTGAATGTGGATTCTGATTCAGATTGTAAGATGAATGTAGATTCTGATTCAGAATGTTAATTAAATGTTGATTCTGATTATGATTGTAAGTTGAGTGTGGATTCTGATTCATACTGTGAGTTGAGTGTGGATTCTGATTCATACTGTAAGTTGAGTGTGGATTCTGATTCATACTGTGAATTGAGTGTGGATTCTGATTCATACTGTAAGTTGAGTATAGATTCTGATTCATACTGTAAGTTGAGTGTAGATTCTGATTCATATTGTACTTTACCTCCCAGAGCAGTATGGTTAACTTGCCGACTTCTGTTTCAGTCAAACCTTGCAGACTCAGGATTGGTAGAGTCAACTTATTATCTGCTGACGTGGTGATGTCTTTAATAGTTGAAACGGATTGTCCAATAGTATTCATCTAAAGGAGATTAAATGACGAAACTAAATTATAGAACTGTATTCTGTTCATTATGAACAATTGTTTCTTAATAGAACCATCTAGTGGCAAACATCAGAGATACTTTTGTTTATATCAAGCCGAAAAAAGCTTCATGGCACCAGGAAAGCAGAGTTAAACAGATGTTGGTTTAATTATTTACTCCTGATTTATAAAAATTAAAGTGGTGAACAGTGTGATATTTGACATACCATCCCTTGTGCCCTGTCTCTGACATCATACACGGTCGCCTTGACTCTTGTAATCATTGTGATATCTCTGGGGTTGTCAAATGCCACAGACGTCAGGTAACATGGATCACAACTATTCTAAAAATTAAAAAACAAGAATGTATTTACTGAAAAACACCAAACATAATGATGGTATATTTTGTTTACACTAGTCTAGGAGAAAGGGACGTGACCAAGGATTCATAATATAAGGGTATACAACATCCCATACTCATCCAACTTAGTGCCCTGGGTACTCAGCTCCAGAAATCATGTTTTTAGGGGCATGAGTGCTTAGCCAAGCAACCCCCTTGAAAAATATTATGCAAAGGATAACTTTAGTTCATCATGTGCAAGACTAGTGAATATTACGTCTTTTTGGGGAAAATTATTACAATAAAGAAATCAAAATGGTCAAAAAAAATACTCATTATGTAAAATATAGGGTCTGTGGAAAACAGTCAAAGTCAATTTCAATATCTTGTTGTGAATGTCTCGATCGTACACAAACTCAGCAATGCAGTTTCCACCATTATATGACTTTAAATGGGATTTTTATTAATTATCACACCAGTTGCATGCCCTTATCTTATCAATCCTTGACACGAATGACCAACTCAGTTGCAACAATCTTAGATTAGTGTAAACACATTGAAAGGCCTGTGTATGGGTTATAAAATTTGTTTCTTATCTGGACTCGTTGAGATCACTTCAGTGCCACTTTTGGTCGAATTGGACACACTTTTTTTTTTGGGGGGGGGGGGGGGAGCAATGTGTGTAGGTTTTTCATTGTACATCTTTCACTTAATCCCTGACGTTCAGAGAAACAAATTTCCAGAGTGTAAATTGAAATTGAATTGAATTGTCACAATTATGTGTGGGTTCCATGCAACATATACAACTTGTGTAAAATACAGTACATAAAATTATAAAGAGTGCTGTGGCACTTAAGTGGTAATCTATGCTAACAGCATAATACTCCCACATGAAAAAGCTCCACAAAGGCAGCAATATGCCATTCAGTTTTTCTTCTGACTTTTCATTCTAAAAATATTAAACTTTTTAATCAGTATACGTTGTCCACCATTTTGATTTTCCAGCAAGGAATTGTGGGTAATATACAACATCAATACTTTTTTTTCAAATTTTAAGTATTAGGTACTCGTGTATATACTGGTAATGTAATAATGGAAATTAAAACATTGCAAATTTACAAGAAATAAATATATTGCCAAAAAGATAAACAATGTCTTGATCCATTTTCTCATTGATGAATTGTATGAAATATACGAAGAATTGAGCATTTCCATGACAACTATATTCCGTATTATATGTATGGTTGGCACCAGTATTTGAAATACTATCGGTACTCTTACCTGTATGGTTTCGGTCTGTGCGCATCGTATCCATGATGTCTGGTGAGGGGGTGATAGCGTACTTATAGCCACAAATGTTGTTGGTGGTTTCCCATCGACACTCAACGGCAAACCCTGACACGCTACGAAAAAGGCACAATACAACGTAAGATAACTCTTGATCATGTGACCCATTGTCCTAGATGTGTTTATCTTTAGTCTCTAGGTAGAGCCCCTCCATACCTATACCCCCTACTCTATTGAAATAGCTAACCAAATGATGATGCTTGAAATACATTCATCGTCACATGATATGCATGACAATGTACTAAATAGAGGCTTTAATTGTGTTTATGCAATACCATTCCACTGACAGCAATGAAGCAAAGTGGTATATTCGTGTCATAAGTTATTATTGCACCTCACAGCGTGCTGTTTCAAGTGTAAACAGCCACACTTACAAGATGCTGACCATAAGTATGGCTGTTACACTTGACACAAAGTACAGCGCAACACAACAAACAATGCACTGCACTGCAATACAATACAACATGAAAGAACATTACAATGTAGAACATATCAATCACCCAGTAGGTATTTTTGATTTAAACTTAAACCATGCAGACAGAACAGGAAATTACACACTGAGTTTGGTGAACAATTTTCAAGCTTTGAAAAAAACTGTAGACAAAGACAAGTAATGAATAAAATAATTAAAGTGAATCAAGTCTAATTTGTATTTAACTACTTTAATCAATCATAGATTGGGATGTTTATTTCTGGCAAGCCATAATACTTACCTATGGAGAGCTCTAGTACTGGTTCCTCTGGGTTGTATTGTACCTCACTGCCAGCAGCGGGGTCACCACCCACTGTATCTGATTGGTCAGTACTGAGTGGATCCTTCCCAGTTCGTGCGAGAAGCTTGGTGCGAAGATAGTTCAATTGGCATCGCAGTCCTTCATAACTTGCTTGTTGTAGCGCTACCACCCATTCATCACGTTGTTCGGCTGTATGTGCGGCCAAGTACTGGACTTTGTCGTCATGTGGGAAAGCTATAAAACAAGTTTTCACAAAATGTTTTCAATGCAGCTTGATGTCAACAGGAGTGGGAGGACCGTTCTGCAAACTTTTTGTTGGGTAGATTACTAAATGCTAATGTAATGTGCTTGATTCCATGGAAACAAAAATAAGTGGTGTCTCACAAACCTTCAGACAAGCCTTGCCAAGAATGTCTTTGAATAGTAATATCCTATAATATATTACTGATATACCAGTACATGTACATGTACCTGTATGTACAGTACAGTCTAAGCACAAGTTAATTTCAAGCTGGCTATCATCTGGCTTTGTCTTTTTTTTATTCATTGTCACTAATAATTTAAACGTATTCTTACCTATGTTACTAACATGAAACATATGTAGGCAGATTATTCTGCATAACTTAAGTTATATGACAGTTTTGAAAGCAATGATTGTAGTATATTTCAGGTTAATACAGTATTTATTTAAAAAGACAATTCAGAGTTCAGCATTTTCATAAGGGAAAACACAGATCATTTACTTTGTACCCCCGTACTTGGTGAGATATACAAACTAAATGCGCATCAAAAGAAGGAATGTGACAAGGAAGCAAAAGAGACTGTAATATGCACCCTGATTCTACAATACAAAGAGAATACTGTGTCAAAATAAGACAACACATACAATTATTGATTCATATGCACTTCTATTCGAGGTACGCTTTTAGTAGAAGTACAGACATAAACAGACAATTGCCATTTTAATAGACGTATCTCAGATATTTACATCATACATTCAACGCTACAAAAAAACACTATATGAACCATAAACCAGCGAAAATGAACATCTAATCCAGTCTATAAGCCTACATGTATATCTGTAAAAAACACCAACTTTCTCAGTCTGTTCAATTCAGACAACATTTGTACAAGCATGTTCCACTGTCATTAAAAACACAATGGCACCTGAATAAAAACCAAACACTAAACAGACTGAGATATCTGTTGGTTTACAGAGAAAGATACTGTAAAACATGTCTTTTTCGCGAGCATGTCTTTTTAGCGAATTTAGCCAGAGAACTGATTCGCTAATTCAAGATGTCGCTAATGACTTTATTATAAATTTAAAATGGCCAAGGCTTGGGGATTTGTATACAGTAATCCGGAACATCCAAATCTGGAGGTATGTATGGGGGTCTAAAAACTAACTCTGCGACGCGATTGTGCGATTCGCCGAATGTTGATTATTGCACTCTGCGACAAGATCGCAGTGTCATTCTGCGAAGAGCATGATTCCCATTGGTTGGTGGGTCGAACAGCGCGAATCCCAATGGTCGATGTTCACCGCATGCCTTATAAAAAATTAAGTTACTTAAGTTACTTAAGTTAAGTAGTTAGTTAGTTTTTCTTTGTTTTTATGGAGGTGATAACTGCGAATTTGTTTTGGCACGCGACAGACAAGTATTGTGAAAACAGGAAACCAAAAATGGCAAGAGAGATTCGCTAAATCAACATTTTGCTATTACGTCATTTTACCACAATTCGCTAAAATTGCATGTTGCTTTTTCAACTTGTTTTATTATTAGTGAAACCAGAAGATTGAAAAAAAGTAGAACAAGTTTAGACAGACATGTATGTGATGAATGTACAGACTCAGGTTTGAAGTCAAGGTAATAAAAATTATAAATGTAATTTTCATAATTTCTTCATACTAGTATTACCGGGTATAAATATTTTACATATACATTAGTTTATACTACAGTGTAATATTCTATCTTTCTATGCCAGCCAAGTACATGTAAAGATAGACAGTAAGCAGCAAAGACATAACTGAGAAATTTACAAAATGATGAATGGATGACTGTCTGAGGAGTTGGGTGAATTATTGAAGTGAAGGTTTTCAAGTATAGCAGTTGTACAATCACTGGGTTTTACCTATAACAAAACAAAAGCGATTCTGTTCAGTATCAGCCTCCATAGTACTACACTGTTCCAATATAATCACTCCATTTGGCTCTGAAAGCATGTCCTTTCCTTTGAAATAGAACAGCATGTTACTTCTAAGGCGACACCACCTCTCACTGTAACCTACAAATTAAACAAACGAATAAATTAATTCAATAATTATAGACAAATATTCATAATAAATGAATTAATAAATCAAAAATATAATATGCAGCAAAATGCAGGGTTCCACCATAATCTAATTTTAACTCAGTCACTGTTCAAAAACAAGTGTGACCAGATTAACCAGCTGTCAACTTGGTTTATTTGGCGTCAGAAGATATCCAGGTTAAACAGCGCCCTCTATAAACGACATTGACAAGGATTGGTTGTTTTGAAAACCAGCTAGTTCTGATGAACAATACAAAAACAAAACTGATCACAAGTTGCTACTCAATGTTGAAGTAGGCAAGGTCCAGTAAGTCAGGTGACTGAAGTGACATGTTTATCTCATTTCTTTTATTTTTAGGTTTGTTTACAGAGCAATCTAAGCTCTAAGCATTTGTCAGTATTGTGAATATATGAATACTGTTTGAAATCAGTTCTAAAAATAGCATTAGTTTCGTTTTCCTTTCTTGGGTTAAATCATTTTTATTGAATCTTCCTGGTAATATTTACCGGTGTTTTGGTTTCACTTTTGATATTTCTAGGATATTTGCTTCAGTCAAAGCTATGGAAGTGTTTTTATGATAATTGAACATTTATAAAAAAAAAAAAAAAAGTTGTCTATGGATGGTATTAAAATAGGATTAAAATTTCTATTGGACTATAGCAGACATTGGCTGGTCAATACTGACCGTTGATACACGTGTACATGCGGCTCTTCCGTTTTTGACACTACCGTAAGTCTGAAATAATCAGATAGACAGTATGAGAGTGGAAAAAATTGAACTAAATAATGCCACAAATCTGTACTTTATTTTCACTTGTTTCATGTTTTTTGCTTGAGGGATAATTCAGTGTCTTTAAAATCCAGTGAATATACTTTTTTTCCTATATTTTACAGAAATTATTCAGTGAAAATATATTCAATACAAAAAAACACTCAAAATGTCTTTTCAGCAGAAATAAAATATTTTACGCATTAATCTTCCTAAGTATATCTAATATTAATAACAAAGGTAAATAAGTTGAAATTATTGATGACAAATCACAATGAATAAAAGGTATACATGTAGCTGGCTAAATTTTTTTTTTTAGCTCAGACTTTTTTTTCTTGCCTGTTTTTGTGTGTGTGGTATTCATTATCATCCATTCCAATGTATGTTAAGTGATTTACTGAATATACTCATTGAGTATGTCATGCAAGAACAACTTTACTGGTCACGATTTTGCTGTCTTGTGCATGGTCCGGTAATCTGAGGTTATGATGACAAAGAAGGTCAAGACGTGACCCAAGTCCTTTGAGAAACAGGTCACTCATCTACAGTTTCCGCACAGAAATTACAAACGTTATTGACTCCTGAGATGCAGTGATTTGAATAGAGCATATTGTACCAGGGGTACATCTAAGTTGAAAAAGGGTTGAGCTGTTGGGCTCCGATGAAATGCTGTCATGTAAAATAGGTAATTAGGTGCTGATAAAGCATTAACAATGATACAGTACAAATACCGATTAAAGAAATTCCATCATGTAGAGGCTGTATACCCCCCCCCCCACCCCCGGTAATACCGATACAGTTATATTATATGTACCGACAACCAAATATTATGCTTTTTTTTACTAATGTTGTTAAATAAAACTTTTGATATTTTGCATTTGTAGATATAAATATTTGTAGATAAATATTTATAAAGCCAACTGTTTTCATTCAAGTCCAGATGAGAAGATGTATAAATGTAGGTTTATAAATCGTTAGCTCTGTTAAATTCAGTGTATATCTTATTTTAGAATATGTTTTCTACTTAGTGGGAGATTTAGTTTAGATTTGATTTGAATTTTTTGAAATGTATGAATTTTTTTAATAGTGAGGTATAGTGGCTAGTCATCAACTTTATGAATCAATTGTTCAGGTCTGACAGCATAAAGCAGTATTATCTTACAGCATAAAGCAGTATTATCTGACATATTTTATTTGTACATTGTAGCATTTGATGTACATTGCCAAGCATTTATGCAGATTTGGGTTAGGACAAAAAAAAGTCCATTGAATCATGAACAAAACTGACGTCACTTTAACTTATGTAATTATTCAAAAGAAGCACTTCAGGGGATTTGTTTGATGAACACCCACTTCTCAAATTGTTCTGTCCCTTTCTTTCTACATTGTATATGCGATTTCATGTACTAGATCCTAAACAGTATTGCATGTCATGATTATAGTTATTCCGGATAAAAAATAAATCAGTCAGATTCCGACACACATAACTCGCAAATGCTGTACATGTAACTGCTGATTCTGCTTTTAACACTCATTTTACAACATACATGTACACATGTACATTCAAGAATTGAAATAAGTTTAACCATAAACCCTCCAGTAGAGGGATACAAATCTGCTGGCAAACATCAAAGGAAGCTACCGTATTACCCCGGGCACGCGCCCAGGGGCCTGAACGTACAAAATCGGGAAAAATTGGGGGTGGGCGCTTACCCGAGGACCACCCCAAAAAAGATTTTAAAAAGTTGTTTTTGTGATCGTATGATAAGGTCAAATAAAGGAATGCTTTCGTACACTTTGTACACGTACTTATTTCTTGATTTATGCGAGGTTTCAATAAACGTGAGCACTCGGTCAAGATCTGTGGGAACACTAAGACACATGGTCGAATTTCAAGAATAAAACTTGTTTTATGTCAGCGAATGAAGTTGTATTACTCACTGAAATTGACTACAAACTATGGTAAATATTGTAATCAATGCAC